ATGAGCATACTAAAGCTACAACTAAATTCAGTCTTCAGAAGTCAAACATAAAAAAGGAATGTCACTTAACAGAAGAGAGCACCTTCTCTAAAAGGAAAATAGCCCAACAATTATATTTCTCTAAGAGGAGAATCTCACAGAAATTTCTATCACACCATACAGCTATTTACAGTGTTTTGAAGATTTTTTTTTTATTGAAGAGGGGTAAGAGCTATAAGAAATCATTCTTGAATTTATGAAGCTTACCATTTCCAAACTTACATATATATATTTAAATCACAGTAATTTGAGGGGGAAAAAATGGTAAATGCCATTTTAAACATTAGTACTGCTGGAAACCTGTGTGGAATCTTGAACTGCATCTGTATGCTTATTCCAAGACAACTAAGAAGTCAGACGGCAATTATGAGAAACCCAGTCACTTACATTTGGATTTTGGTTTTCAAATACACAGTATGAAGTCAAACCAAAATCTACAGAATCACAAATCTTTATTCAATAAAGAACCACTTCAAACACAGAAGCCTTTACATTGACAGAAATGAAGTAATAGAGATAGAGGGTAGATTTCTTCCTTTGTTCTCATCTCTGCAAGCATGTGGGTTTTGTTTGTTTGTTTTTTGTTTGTTTGGGTTTTTGGGGGGGTTTCTTTTGGATTGTGTTTTTTTTTTTTTTTTTTTTTTTTTTTAATATATTACTGTGAGCTATGGAAATCAAACTACCTCTGAAGATAACTTGAAGGAATCCAGTATTATTAGTTTCCCTCTCCAGGTTCAGAATTACATGTTTCTGTCTCACCTACAACCTGCACTTGTACTACTTTTACTATTACAGTATTCCAAAGCAAATTGCTCTTTGCAGCCTTCAAAAGCACCTAACTTTGGTTTAGGGCTTTCTGCTATTACTTTTTTAAAGTAGAAAACTTCTTCCTGGTCAAGATTTTAGGCCATTGTCCTCTATGCACAGGGATTTTGTAAACTCAAACTTACAGAGATACAAATTGAAGATGTTAGATGATGACCTTTCTGAAACCAAAACAAAATTTATTTGAAATGCAGTGATTACATAAAATAACACATCCAAAAATAAGCTTAGCCTCTGCACAGCTATCTGAATAAATTAAACTGTATGAAATGTGATAAAAGTATTAATGCCTGTTAGCTATGTCAGTATGAATATTGTCATGTATAGTGTCCAAAAGCATACAAGGTTTTTGGTCAGATGCTAGTGTCAACAGGCTGCCTTTTCAGATTTTGCTACCAATTACATATGCATTTCTAGACCATGGCAGCTCAGGATTTTTCATATGGAACATCCATTTTGTTAATGCTAAAAAAACCCACAACATGCAAAAAACCCTCGTGCCCACAGTCTCATTGTGTGCGTATTTTTTAATTACTTTTATCAACAAAGAGGAAAGGATTTAACTCATCCAAACAAACTATCACTTGGTGATTTAATGGAATATCAGTCCTCAATCTCATTTTGAATTAACTATTTCCTTGAGAAAATTCAAGGAATTTGAAAACAGCCCCACAACACACAGAGCCACCCACATTATCAAAAGCATTTGATGAGTTACGTTCCCGGCATTCTTTGTACTGAAGTCAGCTTGAAGGAAATTCTAATTACAGATGCTGAATTTCCTCTCATCTCCAAGAATGATGAACTTTCTGATGAGAGCTGGAATACATGAGAGTAAAATGGTACTGACACAGCTGAACAATGCACTTCAAAGAAAAATGTGTTCCCTTTGTATATGCAAGATGTTTCAACTAGGTGATGCCTCCTTATTTCTAAGGACCTGTGGCATTTGAAGACAGGTGCTAACTGCCTGAGGCACAGCTGAATCAGAAGATTTGTTCCAAAAAACACATCAGACATCTGTTCATCTGCACAGGAGGCAGAGTAGTGAAACACCTGCAGCTAAAAGTCTTCAAAAATCCTGGTAATTTTTAGCAATAACAAGAATCCTAAAATCCCAAGTCCACATTTCTACAACTGAATTGTAGCCTTTGCATGAGGAGAGGATAAAAACAAGGCGCATGGGGAAGAAATCACTCAATTTGTGCAATGATAGTTAGAAAATAGCATTTTCAAGAATACAGAGACGGTGGTGCACTCTACAACAAGCACCAGAGGGAGAGTTATCCTGTGGATTGTCTGAGACTAACAAGTGAACTCTTCCAAGAATTTGTATTACGAGAATTGCAGGTTTTTACTCAAAACACGCCACCACACCTATCCACCCTGCCACCCAAGCCCTGGGAAACTGCCTACCTGAAATCCTTTTAGCAAGAGTTTCATATATACTTATTGTAATATGTTTGATGTGTAAACAGTCGCTTCTAAAGGGGTTAGGTGCTGCCCAACAAGCTAGATACGCAGCATGACTGAAACAAAGTTAAGAGCTAGGAATTCAGTTCTGCCTGTCTCTCCTCATATTAATACAAGAGTTGGTATGACATGTGATATTTAGACATGGGGGTAAGGAGCAAATCCCAAAGGGAATCCCAACTTTGGCTTGCTAACTCTATTTTAATCACAAAGAATACATTTCAAGGCAATCCAATCAAGTGAACAAGTACATTAACCTTTGCACAAGAAAGCTTTAACTCAAACAAAACCATGCTTTTCAGAAAAAAAATCCTAAACCCCATCTTGCTTATCTTCTCACCAGACAGGATAGAGAGAACAAAGATGTAACAGACTACAACTGCAATATGCACTACACAGTAGTCCTGTATGCTACAATAATAATCTACATGACAAAATATTTGGGTACCTTAACAAAATATAGACTCCAGATATTTACTACAGAAAATATTTAACTCTTCTACCAGTAAAACTGTCACTATTGTTCTGACCCTCTCATTTCCCCATTTCATAGATGTCCCAATTCCCTATGTGCATGTGTCAAATCTAAGAAGTTCTCACAATGAATTAATTTCAACAATTAATCACACAAGAAACATTTCTTCAAACTGAAAGGAATAAACTTTAAAAAAAAAAAAGTGAAAGTGCTTGATATTTATTAATAGAGAATCTGAAGAGCCCTAGTTCTACCTAAGCTTTTAGATTGCCTTGTTCACAATAGCACTTCTCTCCCGCTAAGTCATACAGCCTATTCTCCATTGCAGCCTTGCCTCACAGGCTCTTTTACAACAAAGTATTGAATGTTCCAAAAAAAAAGCCCCAAAATAACAAAACCATAATATAGAGAGCTTATCACATCAGAAACAGTAATTAGTAGTGAGAAACCATGATACAAGACAAAGAACAATGGTGGATTCTGTTACAGTCCATTTCAAAGGTATGAAGTTGACATTAACTGAAGAAGGTACAGACTGTAACTCTCTTCCACCACCGAGGGCTGGGAATGTAGAATGGCAAGTAAGATAACCATCCTCCCCAAGACGTGGAAACATTAAATACTTTGTCTCAAAGTTAGAGCTAGGCACCTACCTACATGCAACATACACACATACAAATACTAAGTTTTATATGAACACCAGAATGGTCTTTCGAAGAACTCCTATGTACAGCTTCACTTCCCCCGACCCACAAACGCACAGAGAGGTGGTGAATCTACCTCCTATACTGACATCCCAAAGCACTCCTCTTGACACGAAGCAGGAATAAAGACACTTGACATTGCTCAGGTTATACTACATGGCAGAGCTACGTGTGAGAATTACACAATTGACACATCTCCCCCTCCTCTCCTTCGCTGAGGCCCCATCTGGTAGCCGAGCAGTGCCACGGATCCCTTCTGGCTCCACCACCTCGCACCCCCGACACCAGCAAGGAGATCTGTGCCACAGCAGAGTGCTGCAGTGCACGAGGGGAACGCCGGATAGAGAATCAGTGTTCCCGACTACCAATCATTTCCACAGCCAAGTAAAATAAATATCGAAAAATGCAGTTGTACAACTGCATTAACAAAAAAAAAAAAAAAAAAAAAGTGACATACGCAGGCCAACATATGAAGTTGCATAAAAGGAAATGTGCTATTTGTTCCATTTCACAGAAAATCTGTCCTATAAGCTTTTCAGGTTATAACAGTTCATTACTCACTTTTAAATTAAAGTCACAGATTTGCCACAGCACTTAGAATCCGACATTTTTATTTAACCTCCGAAGCGCTGCATGTTGATTGAAAACCAAGGCAAACAAGTCTTAAAAGCAGCAGAGGAATCCAGTCCCGACCACACCCTACCATCGCAGCCGTCTGCCAGCGTTGCAAAACCCAGCCTGGTATACCGGACATCTCAACAGATTAAGTCAGATACAAATATTTAAAAAAAATAAAATAAAAAAAATCAAGAAACACCGAAAACCTGAAGCTCTTCTGGAAAACGAAGAGCGCGTGTGCTCAACCTCACCGGCAGCCTGGTGAGGCCAACACCGCATTCGACGCTTCTTAAATTTCTACTTGGAGGACGCACCATGGGCGAGGAGGGAAATTAATGTTAAAACGAAGCGTTGCTCGCAGCGTAGGCGCACGCTGTGCGCGGCGAGAGCCTGACGGGCCCCGCGGGCAGCGGCGTCCCACGGGGCAGCGACCCGAACGGCCAGGGGGAACGGCGGGAGGCTTCCTCCCCCTCACCGTGCTCGCCCCAGCGCCTCGCCGGACGGATGGACGGACAGACAGACGCCCAGGAGGGGACAGGGGAGGCAGCAGGCAGGACGGAGCGGCTGGGAGCCCTCGGCCGCGGTTCCCCAACCTCTCGCTGAGGAGCCCACCTGCCCCCCGCGGCGATACTCACTCCTGCCCGGGCCGGGGCTCCCCCGCTCCGCCTCCCCTCGCCTCACCGCTCCCGCTGCTGCCGCCGAGTCGGGCCGGGCCGGGCCGGGCCGGGCCGGGGCGGGGCGGGGCGGGGCGGCCCCGACCAGCCGCGCACCTGCCGCAGGTGAGGCGGGCGGGGCCGAGGCGCCCGCCAACCGCCTGCCTGCCGCCCCCGCGCGCGGTGCCGCCCCGCCCGTGTAAGTGCACCCCCCTCCCTCCCCACCCGTGCGTACACTTGTGTTTGGGAGAGTTCTAGAGTTCATCCCCTTTTTTTCATTTTTTTTTTTTTCTTCCTTAAATCGGGCAAAAAATGTAGCCGGCTGTAATGGCTGGTGCCGTAAAGCGAGCCGCAGGCGGCGCGACAGCCGGGAAGGTCCCCTCCGCGCGGGTGGTTCGCGGGCCGACCCCGAGGAAAGATGGCGGCCGGGGAGGTGAAGTCGGTCCTCTTCGTGTGCCTGGGTGAGCCGGGCGCGGGGAGTAGGCGGCCCTCCTCCGGTCCTTCCCCCCTCGCTCGTCGGTCAGGGGCAGCGGGGAGGGCGTGAGGGGGCGCGGTGATGCGAGGGCCGCTGCCGGGGGTTGGGGGGGATGTCAGCCTGCCTGGAGAGGCGGCCACCCGCCGAGAAGGGAGTCGGAAAGCAGTCTCCATCTCCTTCCCCTCTGTCGTTGTGATAGGTGGGAGGAATCGGTGGGAAACAACGCGTGAAATCCGGTGTTGGCAAAGGCAAGGTTACGTGTGGGGGAGAGCGGCGCCTCAGGACGCGTGAACCGACGTGTGCTCGGGGTGGAACTGGGCTGCTCAAGAGCAGCGCGGAGCGGTGGCTGGGAACCGCTTTCTGGAGGGGGCTGCTCGGTGCTCGGCTTCTGGAACAGCGGGGAGGGAGCGGAGAGGCCGCCAGCAAGCGTCTCGGTGCAGCCTGGGCGCAGGCGGTGCGCTCTCCTCAGCACCAGGCGTTGGAAAGGGAGAGAAAACGGTGGCGAGAGTGGCTGAAGTTAATGGAGCAGCCTCTGTAGGAAGAGGGGAAAATATGTTAGGCCTTGAAGTAAGAAAAAAAACTTGGTGGAGTTGGAGGCGATTTCAGTCTATGAAATTATGGCCATCACGAAAATGAGTGAAAAGAGTAAGAATTTTTTGAAGGGCTACCTAAATGAAAAACTAGGGTTTTTTTTTGTTTGTTTGAAAAGATATTCTCTAAGTTGTGATTCTCATGTCATCAGAAGGCATAGAAAACAGAAGTGTAAGTGGGATCAGAAAGGATTTTGTTGCTTTCCTGAAGCTTAAGACAATTGATTACTGATAAGCAAGATGAACTTCTGCATCTTCACAACCAACAAATTGCAAACCTCAGTACATGGATTACAGAGACATGCCTCATTTTGCACATGTTTTCTCTGAACATCTGCTTCTGCTTCCTTTTGGGGATAACAAGCTAAATAACTCTTTGATCTGATCTAGGAGGGCTTTTAACATTATCTGCTTCCTAGCCCTTATAATCTTACCTATGTGCTGAGAGTTAATCCCTGTGAATCTCTGGCATTTTGCCAGTTTTGTTACAAAACCATTGGTTTGCTTGCCCTTTTTTTTTTTTTTTTCCCACTATCTGCTTTTCTGTTGTAATAGGAGAAATGCAGATTAATTGAACAGCGAACCAAGAGTTTAGTTTTGTGAAATAGTTCTGATGTTCATCTTAGAGTAAAATCAGCCCTTAATAATAATTTAGCAAAAACATTCTTCGGTAAGGGATAATCAGTTGCTGTATGTTTGGGAGCCAGTAGCCTAGATAAAAATTTTTGTATAAGAACATCAAACTAATCTGCATCCTTCTTTCCAAATGCTATGTTCTAAAGGCAGTTGTAATGTTCACAAAACAATTCGTACATATGGGTCCATAAGCTCACGATGGTGGTTTGCACTGTAACAAGTTCCTAATCCAGTTGGGTCTCTGAGGAACTGTTATTAGTGGAAGATTTAGGTATGGAGTGAAATTATGAATATTAAGCTTGAGGAAAAGGTAGACAAGTCAGGACTGATGTTAATGGGATAGATTTATTTTTTTTTTTAACAGATGTTGTAAACATCTTTTAAATTTCCTCTTCTGTGTTACTGGGTTATAAAAAATAAGCATAATGGTATGTGGCATGTGACATAAAATCTAATTTACATGACAAGCACTTCTTTTTTCCAGTCAAATATATACTCTACACAGTTAAGTTTTGAAGGCAGCTTGTTTCTTCTTCCTGCTTTAAGTTTGTTTAATTTTTTTTGTTAGTCTTGAAGAGTGATACTTATGCCTTAATAGATTTTTTTTTCCTCCTAAATTTTATTATAAATAATATCTGTGGTTATTGCTGAAAAGAGTACTAAACAGATTTCTACATTATTTTGAAAGAAACCTATTACTGAAATAGCCGTTGGCTGTGTTCTTTGTTTGTAATGAGATATGCAGATGTTAATTACACAACAAAATACAATCTAGTTAACGTGCGTAACTACGTTAATGATAAGGGTTCCTCATCAGTGGGAAATAAATTAAGCACCCAGCAACATATATAATTATAGTATATGAAAAGACACTGGGAAATATTTTTTTTCATTTAAGGCAAAGAAATAAATACAATTGGAAGTGAACTAAAATGCAGTTTGCTCTTTTTACACTGACGTAGCTCATCTAATTAATGGTTGAGCTCCAGAAAGGAGCTTAATATGATGCTGTGTTACATAAGTCAGCCTCTTTCTCTCTGATGACTTGTCCACTATAACATAACAAGCTGCATGAGCATCTTAAACTTGGCACTGGATTCTTGATCTCCTCCATGGGTGGAGGAATAGTTGTAAGACAGGTGAACAGTGAGCAAAGTGGGTTTGACTGAGTCCTCAGAAAATAGATGCTTGTTGTGAGTATTGCCATCAGAGATCTAGACTGCATAAAATAATTTCTAAAATGACAAATCATTTACTGGTTATGAGGAAATTAGGTTACAGTTACAGAGAGATTTGAGTTGCCTAGTTCAACTGTCACAGTCCATTATATGCATTTAGATACAGGCAAATACTGACGTCATCTACCTGGACTTGTGCAAAGCATCTGATGCTGTCCCACACGCCATTCTTACCTCTAAATTGGAGAGACATCAGTTTGACAGATGGACCACTCAGTGGATAAGGACTTGGCTGGATGGTCACACTCAGAGGGTTGCAGTCAACGGCTCGATGTCCAAATGGAGAGCAGTGACGAGTGGCATTCCTCTGGGGTCGGTAGTGGGACCAGTGCTGTTTAAGATCTTTGTTGTGCACACACACTCAATCCCACTGTCCACCCTCACAAAGTTTGCCAACAAAACCAAGCTGTGTAGTGTGGTTGACATGGTGGAGGGAAGGGATGCCATCCAGAGGGACCTAGACAGGCTTGAGAGGTGGGCCTGCACGAACCTCATGAAGTTCAACAAGGCCAGTTGCAAGGTACTGCATATGGGTTGGGGCAATCCCAAGCACAAATACAGGCTGGGCGATAAATGGATTGAGAGCAGCCCTGCAGAGAAGGACTTGGGGCTATTAGTGGATGGAAAACTGACTATGAGCCAGCAATGTGCGTTCGCAGCCCAAAAAGCCAACTGTGTCCTGGGCTGCATCAAGAGAAGTAAGGCCAGCAGGTCATGGGAGGTGATCCTCCCCTTCTACTCTTCTCTGCTGAGACCCTACCTGGAGTACTGTGTCCAGCTCTGGGGCTCCCAACATAAGGAGGACATAAACATGCTCGAGCAGGTCCAGAGGAGACCACGAAGATGGTCAGGGGACTGGAGCACCTCCCCTGTGAGGAAAGGCTGAGAGTTGGGGGTGTTCAGCCTGGAGGAGAGAAGGCTCCAGGGAGACCTTATAGCGGCCTTCTAGTGCTTAAATGGGGCTACAGGAAAGATGGAGAGGGACTCTTTATCGGGGAGGATAGGGATAGAACAAACGGTAACAGCTTTTTAGATATAAGGAAGAAGTTCTTTACTGTGAGGGTGGTGAGACACAGGAACAGGTTGCCCAGAGAGGTTGTGGCTGCCCCCTCCCTGGAAGTGTTCAAGGCCAGATTGGAAGGGGCTTTGAGCAACCTGACCTAGTGGAAGGTGTCCCTGCCCATGGCAGGGGGGTTGGAACTATGTGATCTTTAAGGTCCCTTCCAACCCAAATTATTCTATGATTCTATGAAATACAGGGTTTCACGGGACAAGTTGCCATTTATACCTGCGAAATGGGAAAGCAGTAGGTTGGATAAAACATTGAAGTCTTCATGGAAAACAGCTGCTGTAATGAGGGTTCTTAGCAAGCTGACTGTCCTGGGTTTGAGTGAGTGGTGGAGTTTTTTTTGGTGGCAGGGGAGGGGGCAACAGAGGCGGCCTCCTGTGAGAAGCTTCTTGAAGCTCCCCCAGCTCCAAGTCAGCTCCACCTCTGCACCGAAACTGAGCCAATGAGCTGTGCCTCTGTGATAATGTATTTAAGAAGGGACGTGGTGGGGAGGAGTTGTGGCAGTTGCGTGAGCACAAAGGTCAGTGGAGGAATGGAGGAAGAACAGAGGGGGGACATGTGCTGGAGCAGAGACCCCCCTGTATCCTGTGGTGAGATGGCAGGGCAGCCCCCCCCTGCCACCCATGAAGATCTGCGGTGGAGCAGACACTGATTTATGGCCTGTGTTTTTTCACCTGGGTGATCAAGGTGCTGTGCCCGAAGAAGGCCAGGGTCTTATGGGAAAAGGTAGCCCCGCTGCTGTAATTCAGTGCTGGGAGGATTGCAGCATGCGGGGGAGTCCCACGCCGGAGCAGCTCGGGAAGGGCTGCAGCCATGGGAGGGAATCCAGTCAGGGGAAGTTAGTGACCCATGACGGAGCAGTGTGGGGAACGCTGTGGCCAGTGGGAGGAACTCATGTCAGAGAAAGTTTGTGGAGGACTGTCTCCTGTGAGAGGGGGACCACGATGGAGCAGGAGGAATAAGTTCCAGAAGCTGTCCCCACTGAAGATGGAAGAAGCGGCAGCACTGACTGCACCCCCCATTCCCTGCCCCTGCGCTACTGGGGGAGGAGGTAGAGATATCGGGAGCAGAGCTGAGCTCGGGAAGAAGGGAGGGGTGGGGGGCAAGTTGTTTCCAAGATGTGGCAATGAGGAAATTAGGTTACACTGTCCTACTCTGTTAAGTGTTGTTAGTGTCTGTAATAAATGTACGTTCTTTTTTTTTCTTCCCCTAACGAGTTCTGCCTTTTGCTTGTGACCATAAACGGTGTTTTTTTTTTTTTTCCCCATTGTAGTTCTATCTCAAACCCCAAGCCTGGCTCATCTGTCCCTTCTTATTGCTGGAAGAGAAGGGAGAGAGAGTGGCTGCGTGGTGGTTGGCTGCCAACCAGGCTCAAACAACAACACTAAGAAAAAGAAATAGTGCCATTTTTTGGATAAAGAAGGGAATGTTAGATAAATATAAGGAAAATACC